CTGCAGCACCGGCTGGATGAGGCCGAGCAGATCGCCCTCAAGGGTGGCAAGAAGCAGCTGCAGAAGCTGGAGGCCCGAGTGCGGGAGCTGGAGAATGAGCTGGAGGCTGAGCAGAAGCGCAATGTGGAGTCGGTCAAGGGCATGAGGAAGAGTGAGCGTCGCATCAAGGAGCTGACCTACCAGGTGCAGATGGGCAGCTGCTCTGGGGCCCGGCCTCGAGAAGTGGACCAGAGAGGGCTTCCCTAGCGCCAGCTCCTGGCCCACATGGGCCCCAGGCATAGCCACCTTCCAGGAATACCAACCAGCCCTCCTGGCCCCTGCTCCTTGGGAAGTTGTCTTTAGATTAATTTTCTTTCACATTCTCAGGAGTCAGGTTGGCTTGAGTCCATGAATTTTCTAGTGAGTGGAGAATCTACTTCTACTTCCTGAAAGCTCTTTCAATCCGCATTTCCCCAGGTTTTTTTTTTTTTTTTTTTTTTTTAATAGAGGCATGCTTTATTTATTTGTTTGCTGGTTTGTTTGTTTGTTTTGTTTATACATGCACTGGGTACAGTCAGAAGTGCGGGAGGGCGAGAGAATTCACCAGAGCCAGAGCGGGGAGCAGAGCAGGCAGAAGGACCCAAGTACACTGCTGAGGGGAGCAGCGGGCGGCAGGAGAGGTCTGCGCGCCATGCGGGACCCTCCTCTGGTGGCCGGGGAGCAGCCGGGGATCGAACCGGCGCCGCAGAGGCCGCGCGCAGCTTCGCAACCCAGCGCTCAACCGCTGCGCCTCCCCAGGTTTTTTAATAGCCTGAAATGTTACCATGAAATCTTCAGAATAGTTCAAGGAATTTTTCCACCTTCTACTAGACTAAGAGAGAGGGAGATTGTACAGCCCTTTAGGGATTAAAAAAACAGGGATGGAAGAAAGATGCATATCTTCCATGAAATTTCTGGGACAACAGATAGTAGACTTTAGAGGAAGAAGCTCCCAGAATGTCCTAAGAGTTCGCCTACAGAGTCCAGAGCTTTTGCCCTGACCTGTTATTTTCACAGTGTGCCTGGGATGGAAAGACAGAGAAAAGGGCTATGGGTCTATTTGACACCTGTGCGTGAGAGGCGTAGGAAAGAGTACGGATGTGAAACTATGGATTTATTGTCGACATAGTGGAAATGGCATCCTAGCACACGCAATGATGTGGAGAGTGGAATAATCAAGTGACACTGCGTTCATCCCACCATCTCCCCACTTAATCCTCCTGCCCTCTGTGCCCCCTGCAAACTGGCCCTTCTGTCTGCATTCCTCTTTAGTCTTCTCTGGTCACTGTAGAACTTCTGGCCAGAGCATCTGTGTTACTGCAGGTTAGACCTGGGATAGCCCTCATGCCTCCATATTATCAGACGAAGGAATTGCATTGGATTCCGGCCACCTTTCCCTCTTCTAGCCTTATGGTCCCTTTTCCCCTGCCCCCTCCCAAGCCTCCCCGGCCCTTGTTGGTTTCCATATCTTGGAAAGAGGACCCGGTCTTGCTCTTTTGATCACCGTGTCATGTCAGAGATAGACTCTTCCCCATTACCTCTTTGACCTGGCCCACTGGAAAGAGGACAGCTAAAACTTGGGGAGAATAGTGGGATGGTAGGGGAGGGAAAGATGATTACCAAACTGACTTATCCTGCCCATTCACCCCCAGACAGAAGAGGATAAGAAAAATCTGCTGAGGCTGCAGGACTTGGTGGACAAGCTGCAACTGAAGGTCAAAGCCTACAAGCGCCAGGCCGAGGAGGCGGTGAGTTCATAGTTTTCCGTATTTTTATCAGTACACCTCCTACGAGAACCAAGGAGTGTCCACCCCAGCACGGGCACCTTGGACAAAGGGTTTGCCACTCACTTAATGCTCAAACCTTTATTATACATGCCTGGTGTGCTTAGAGCTGTGTCAGACCCTCACTGTTAACACAAGCCCTACTCGTGAGACCCAGGGCCTGCCCACAAGCTGCTTCTAGTGCACACATCAGTAAGCCCAAGAGAAGGCAGTGGTGCTACTAATGCAGATCAGAGCCCAGCCAGTGATGAATCCTAGAAGGCGGCTATGGAATTGAGCCAGGAAGGGGACTGGCCTGCCATAGGACAGTGGAGAAGACATGGGGGGATATGGATGTGAGGGGTTGGTGAGCACACTGTGCAGGAAACCCCGGGTTGGGAACATCCATGGGAGTCATGGTTGTTCAGGGCAGTGCGGCAGGCTTCTGAGGGGCGCTGCACCAGGCAGCATGATGGAGCAGAACGTGGCCACCAAGATTCTGAGCACGGTGCTAGTTTGAGCAGAGCACCAAGCCAGGAGCAGGGTGCCTTGGGAAGGCTGGGTGGAAGCACATGAGGAGAGCACAGGCTGGGGACAGGGAGCCCATTCCCAAAAGGAAGCTGGGAATCCCCACCCCACCCTGTCCCCACTCCTGACGCTCCTCTTCCCTGGCCCCGCAGGAGGAGCAGGCCAACACCAACCTGTCCAAGTTCCGCAAGGTGCAGCACGAGCTGGATGAGGCGGAGGAGCGGGCGGACATCGCCGAGTCCCAGGTCAACAAGCTGCGGGCCAAGAGCCGCGACATCGGCGCCAAGGTGGGTCCGTCCCGCCTGGGCCTCGCTAGTCAGACCATGCAACGTCCCCCCCACACACTGAGCAGTGCCCCCTCTGAGCAGGCATTCCTCATCCTATATTTGGACAACCCTGACGGTCCCAAATCAGCCATACCTGGGAATCTGTCTCCTGCTCAGAGCAGCCCCCTTCAGGCAGGAGCCTCTGCAGAAAGCCAGTCTCACCCTTCAAAACAGAAGGACTCCTAAATGGGACCACAAGACACCTGAGACCAAATCTCTCCCCCCAAAGGCATCTCCCTAGGCCCCTGAAAGTGCTAGAGATCTCTCCCCACGCCATTCCTTGCCAGCTGCCCCTCACACCTTATATTTCTTTTTCAGCAAAAAATGCACGATGAGGAGTGACGTGGCCTCCAGAGCCTCACTGACTTATAATAAATCAGAGCTGCACTCTGCCTGGGCCTCTGTCCTTCCTGCGGCACCAGGCACTGAGAGGAGGTCACCCATCCCTGTATTAGAGCTGTGAGGAAGGTGTCCCCCAGCTACAGGAGAGGAGCCGGGGCTCAGGAAAGTGAGGTGTCCTCTCTGAGAAGGCACAGCCATGGGTCCCAGGTCCACTCAGTCAGCCTTACAAGGGAGGAGAGGAGAAGTTTTGAGGTAGAGGAAACAAAGGCACCAGAGGGTGAGCCAATTCTAGACTTTGGGAGACAGGGTTTTAGTACCTAAGCTGAAACCACCCTCCACCTCCCCATCTTGGAGGTGACTGGGAGTTAAAGGTGTCCTGGATATCTATTCCCTCCAAAATGAATTTCCCGCTGATGCCAGGAGAGGCTCAGGGCTCAGGATGAAAGGGCTTGGTCAGGCCCTCCCTGTCATCCCAGGTCTGAGCCCAACCTCATGGAGTGTCTTGAGCCTTTAAAACCTCCTGACACTAATATTCAGGGTGGTCTGAACTCAGGTACTGCTTCTCTCACTGGACCTTCCAGAAAGACACCGCGGGACATGGGAGCGTGTGGAGGAACACATGTAGGTCACATTTCTGTTCTGTCCCCACCAGGGACAGTCTGTCCAGATCACACAGCTGCTCAGACAGGGCTCTAAGCAAGCCCTGGGCCCCCACCGGGCTTCAAGCAGGCTCCCTTGAGCAATTCCTCATCACTTTACCTGACGTCTCACTTCCTAGAGACCCCGAGCTAAACCCCTTCTCCTCCTCTGAGGTCTTGACCCCCGCCCCCTCAAGGTCATCACAAGTCCTGAGAATGCATTGTGCATAAAACTGTGGGCGAGGAGCTGAGAAACACAAAATCCAGTTGGTTCTAGCCCTGGAGAGGCTGCCAGCCCTGGTGAGGAGCCAAGGAAAAGTCAGACCAAGAGACACTCGTGGTTATCACCAACAGGAGCTGATGACCAGCCGAGAGTTCCCAGCTTTAGGGCATGGGGACTGGGGTCCATGTCTGAAAGGAACACCCCAGAGAAGAAAGAAGATAGTTCAAGGCAGGAACAAACAAGCACAGGAGAGAGGAGACAGCAAGTCAGCCTGGACAAGCTGCTGAGCTGGGCCCTGCTGGGCTCTGCTGGGCTGGGCAGGCCCATCCTTGCTGTGCTGCACTGTCATGGGCCAAGTGGGGCTGACTCCTGGCTGTGGCCCTGCCTGCTCCTCACTCTCCCTGAGCCAAGCTGTCAGCAGCATTCATCCTGGACAGCCATGACTGTCTGCACTAGCCTGTCACCTCCCCAGTCTGTGAGTGCTCAGGGACTGGGCTCACCTGTGACTCCCCGGTGCCCAGCACAGGTCCACACAGGAGAGATGCTCAGGAATGTCTGCTGAAGTGCTGCCAAGTGAGAAGGTGGACCTCCTGCTAGCGGGAACTGGCGACGAGGCCAGGGAAGACCTGTCTAGGTGTTAGGAGAGCTGAGTTCCTGCCCTGGCCCTGCCACAACATGGAGGTCACTTCCCCAATGGGCCTGTTTTCTCTTTTGTGAATGAGGATCCTGGACCAGCTGATATCTAAGGACTTTTCCAGCACCAGCATTTTGGGACTCTCTCCCTTCACCTGATGCCACATGCTGACATCCCCACCAAGGCCTTCAGGCCAGGTCTTCCCCACACCACGAGGGGGAGCTCCACACACACCCCAAGCACATGCTCCACTTCAAACCCACAGGCCAACCAGTGTGCGCAGGTACCGCAGTGGGCACGCATTCACACTTACATGCTTTGTGCCTTCTGGGACACAGGGCTCCACTGCCCAGCCATTGGGCATACACAGAGTGGCTGTGCACACAGAGTTGTGGTCTGGGAGTTTTGGCTTGAAGAATATCTTCAGCCTCTTTAGGCTGGCCCCCCACTTCATTGCGCAAACTCTGCTCCAGACAACCTCTCCATGTTCTAATTTCTGGGGAAGAAAAAGGCTCACCAGTAGGATCTGAATCTTTTAATTTGGAATGACCAGCTTTCTCCTACCTCCCCCACGTCCATAATACTCTCCTTCCAGGGTGGAGCTTCATGAGGAGCCAGATCTTAGACCATCCCAGTGACTTCTCAGGCCAGGCTCTACCTCGGTAGACCTGGGGCCAGGGTTGGTGGGCCAGGGGTCTAGTGAATCCAAAGGAGTCATCTCTGGACCCCACAGACCCCTTTGTCTGACCAGGCCTGGGAGCTAGGTAATCCTGGGGTCACTGCTGGTCCCCTGTGAAGATGGAGCCAGGCAGGGAAGAGCAATGTCAGGATGGGGTAACTGGGGCAGGAGCGGAGGGGGTGTGCCCTCACCCTAAAGCACAGACACTCACCCTGGGTGGCGCTGGGCACCAGCTCAGTCCGGTAGATCTTGAATGCATCGTAGGCAAAGACGGACACCAGGATGATGCCGAAAACCTGTGGGAGGAGACGTGGGGACAGCACGATGAAGGCCACTGGGGCGCTGGATTGAAGGGAAAGGAAGGTGGGTAGGGCAGGGCAAGGTGTGAGCAAGAGCTTTGGGAAATGGTGTGGGGGGAGGCACAGAAGGTACACAACCATCTGCCAGGGGCCCTTGGGAGGCCAGAGAGCTCTGTGGGCACGGACTCACAAAAGCGGCAATGGCAGCTCCATCCCGGGAGGTCACAGCAGCAAAGGAGACCACCAGGAAGATGATGATGGCACTGACACAGCGGAGGAAGTCCTGGAGGGCCAGGGGTGCAGGGTCAAAGGGAAGTCAGAGACAGGGACATTTCCCTGAGGTTTTCCAAGGTAGTCAGTGGCTGGACCCTCAGGTACCGTGAATCCCTACAGGAGGATACCACGGGGCACAATATAAAGCAGAGAGGAGAGATCTCACACAATGCCCGGGAAAGAGAGAGGTGTGAATGAAAGGGACCAGGAGAAGCCAGGGGTCTCAGGTGGGAGTGGGGATGACCCAGGCTCAGTGACTGAGGGGCCCAGGGCTGGTGCTGGGGTGGAGGGGACTTTGATGAGCGCGGAGCAGATCTAAGAGATGTGTGACCTCACTGTCAGTGAGCTGGGAGCTGTGAAATCAAGATGGGTCAAAAGGGTTTTTGAGCCAGGCTGAGGGGTGGGCGCTGGATGCGCTCTATAATTATGCCCCGGGGAAGAACAGAGGCTAGAAGAGGAAAAGAGAACTTTGCATTAAGAGGGAAAGAAAGGGACTGAATGGCAGGGACCCTCACCAGACAGGGCCAGTTCAGTCGATCGAAGCGCTTGTAGTACTGGGTGGCGTAGAGGAAGAGGAAGGCGAGAATAATGAAGAACTCAAGCAGCGCCGCAGCCATGTAGGCAGAGATGGAGGCCGTGAAGCAGATGAAGATGATGAAGGTCAGCGCCTGCAAGACAGAGCGTGTAGAACTTTTCAGGAAGGGGACACAGGCATGGCCAGCTCTTTGCTTCCCCCACCTTGGGAGCGCCCCCATGGTGGGCAGTGCCAACCTCCCACCACTGCCAGCTCCTTAGATTTGTATCTTTTGATTTGGGAATGACCAGGTTCCCCTGCCCTGGCATCTCAGTGACCCCTACAGTTTGACCAAACCGCACAACTCCAGGGGCACCACCTGGGTAACCCACAAGAGCAGGGTCTCACTGGAGCACAGAGCACAGTGAAGGCCAGCCCCTGGAGTGGTGCCCACAGCAGCCCTGCCCCCCAGGAGGCACCCCGCCCTGTAATGCTTTCCCCAACCCCAAAAGTCCTCTAGCAATGACCAGAACCTTGTTTTCCACAATGAGAAGCAAGATTTAGAGAGAAGGTGGTCCACGATGGATGGACTCTGGGGGTCCCTTCTGCTATGCCCTGGGGGGTGGCACATACACAGAAGATGGGTTCACTCTAGGCTCTCGTTACGTGACTGGGGAAGATCCTTTCCTGCCAACAGAAGTTCCCTGGGAGAAGATAGCAGATAAAGTGTAAAGTGAGGCTGCAGGAAGTCTGCCATTTTTGATAGCTGAATTTCCTGGCCATGCCAAGAAGTGGCCATCTTAGAGATCAGGGATGTCCCTGTCCCGTGCTTGTGTCCATGCCCTACATGTCCCAGGAAACTGTCCTTCCTACTGCAACCAAAACCTACTGGAACTGCTTCCAGATGGAGAGACAGCAAGATGGCAGGGTAGGAGCTGAGGAAGGATCAGTTGGGGCAGGAGGGGTGTCCAGAAAGCCTGGGAAGGAAGGCTGCTAAGGGAGGAGCCCCGGGGGTGGGGAGGCCGGGTCACACTGGGAGAGGAGACCCGGGTTGGGGAGGCGGCTGTTACCAGCTCGGTTTCCAGCAGGATGCCTTTGAGGGAAGAAAGGAAGGTCTTGTCCACGGTGAAGCCCTGGAGCCCTGCAGGAGCCCCCTCTTCAGGGGGTGGGTCCCGGCGATCCCAAGCACTAAACATCTCCGAGGGGCCACCAGGCACAGGACCCCACTGCTACCAGCCCAGGAAGGGAAGGCAGAAGATGGAAAGCTGGCGGAATGGGGAAGTAGACAGGAGCAGGAAAGCACTTGGAGAAACCTGAAAGTGAAGCAGGAAGGCCTGCCCCGAGAAGGCAGCTGCAGTGGGAGGCTGGCCCGGATGGGCCTTCACCCAGCTGTCCAGAGTGCCCCTGCCGGTGCTGCACCAGCCCCCTAGGAGGCACGAGGGGAGGGGAGGGCGGGCCAGGAGGAGTGGTCAACCCGAGGGGACAGGGGAGGGGGTAGAGAAGGAGGTTCTCAGAGAAATGGGGCGGAGCTGGGAGGTGAGCCAAGGGAGGCCTGCACTAGGAGTCCCCCCCAGGACCTAAGCTTGAAGAAGTTTATTTCCTCGTCCCCTAACCTTAACCTTCTTCTTTGGCCCGTCCTTTCTCCCTTTTGCTTTTAGGGAGGGCGAGAGCTGGAGCCCAGCCCAGGCAGCACCCCCAGGATGAAACTGTAGCAGCCAAGACTGAGGACAAAGGCAGATTGTTGGGGGGACAAGGGGGTGCTGTGTGCCCGCTGTGGTGCCTCAATGGGCCTCTGTCTCTCCAACATGCCAGGAGGGCAGCCTGTCCCCCACCCTGGTGTTCAGGGGTGGGCCAGGGAGCTGGAGAAGGGGAGGGATGGGGCCGCAGCAGCAACCCCAGAGGCCAGAGGAAGAGGACAGGAGTTGAGGGCTGACGGTGAGGAGAAGGGGCCGGGTTTGGGAGCACAAGGCGGTCAGGGGTACCAAAGAGAAATTAGGCCACTTTTAAATATAGATTATTTATTTGGGTAAGTCTCTCCATGTTCATTAACAGCTTTTTCCTCATTACCCATATCAAAAAACTAGCAACTACGCCAGGATGTGTGCAAAGTAGGGCTCACCTAGTATTTGGTGAATGAGTGAATAAATGAGTAATGAAATGCGGGGCTTTCCACTGGCAAAGGGGAAAATATCAAGAAAGTGCCTGTGCCGGGCCGGGCGGCTGGGACAGGAGACAACGAATAGACAGGCGTGGTGGCCCCAGAGATGGTCAGAGGAGAAGCCAGGACCCTGCTGCCAGTGCCACGGGCCCTGCTGCGCCCTTCGCTTCCTCCTGCATCTCCCATCCACTCCGAAAAGTGCAAAGTGCCATTCCCCGAAGTCCCCATTCCTGTCCCCAGGATCCTGCTGCTCACGGTGGTGCCCTGGAAGGTTGAGCATGTGGGCGTCGTGGCTCAGCTCTGCTCTGACCAGGACCAGGCGTGTACGGGCACGACTAGGCCACCATCTGAGGCCGCACGCACACACAAGCCAAGGAGACAGGGTAGAGCTTGGGTTCCAGGCAGTAGCCATTGCGGGCCCCCTGCTGTCCGGGGCAGGGTTGCCGGTAGAAGACGGTCTGGTTGTGGTAGAGCTGCACCGAGTTGCCCAGGGGGTCCATGTGGGAGCCCGTCCGTAGGCTGACGCAGTGCTTGCACAGGCAATGGGCTTGGTACAGGTCCTGGGGGAGCCGGTTCAAGTCCCTGTCCAACCTGTGGGGGCGGCACAGGTCAGGACACGGACAGAGGCTGGCTGAGCAGACGGGGACAGTCTAAAAGCAAGGAGGGCCTAACCCTGGGGGGAATGGTCAGAGGAAGGAAATGATACCATTTTGGGTGGAGGGATGGTCGGGGGAGGGGGGGAGTGGGGGCAAAGGGTGGCAATGACTTCTCCCAGCTCTGGCACCTATTTGCTGTGTGACTTTGAACAAGTCATCCCTCCTCTCTGGGATTTATTCGTTCCACCCACCCACCCACGTAAGCGAGGGTCAGGGATGAAAAGAGTGACTTTCCCACTGGTCCCAGGACCCTTAGGGGCAGGTAGAGGGAAGCAGGCTCCTGTGTGAGCCTCCACCAGACCAGCTCTGCATCGACCTGACCAGACGCTGATCCCTGACCTGAGATTTCTTTTTATAATTGCTACTGTTTTAATAATTGTTTTATAACTGTTAGATCTGGTTGATCACTCCCCGGACCTTTTCCAAATACTGTCTGTGCATATATTATACACACACATAAAAGTGCATGGTAGGACTATTCACTTATTCTGAAAGGATTTCATGATCAAAAAAATACTTGAAAAATTATGGAAAAGCAGATGTTTTGAAGGTCTGGGACTTCAGAAGCCAGGTGGGAAACAGCCACTAGGTGTAAGACCATTCCCCAGATAGGCCTTGGGTCTCAGTTAGTGCAGCATTTCCTAAAGTGAGTTCCCTAAAAAATATCCTGCAAGAAAATGGGTCTGTGACCAAACAAGTTTGGGAAATGCTGAGTTGAACGGTTTCTTTTCTAAGGACTTCTTGCAGACTTTAATATGTTGAGCACATGCTGAGTCTCTAAGGGCTGGAGTAGCTTTTCTCAAACTTACTTGACATCATGACTTTTTGCTAAAGAGCAGCTCTTGGGACTAGTGTTGCAAAGAACACACTTTGGGGAAGACCAATGCAGTGGTTATCAGGAGTTCACAGTCTCCCAGTGAGGAGCCTGGACCCCAGCCTGAGTGAGCCATCTGGCACTCAGTCTCCCCAAAGGTTGATTTAACCGAGCACCCAGCCAGCCTTCTGAGATCACTTCAAAGCACAATTACCCCAAATCTCCACCCTGGATCTAGTCTCAATCAAAGCTGACCCCTCCATACCAACTGAACTTCCACATCCAGCCCTAAAGCCAAGGCTAAAGCAGAACTAGACTTAGGGAGAATATGAAAAGAGGTATCAGTAAGGTCGTAAGACACAAGGAGAAATGTGCTTGGGATCCTAAGGCATATTTAATTCTTTGCTTTACTGTCCCAATTTCAGAGCTTCCTACTATTTTTTCACATCAGGACACAAATAGAGAATTATATTTGTGCAGCACACAGAATAATTATGTCTGTTCACAATCAAAACCGGACTTCCAGTGGACCCAAAGTTGAAAGTCTCCCTCTCATGGCATAGTTATAACTCATGCATGGCCCAGGGAAGCAGCATTTTGTGCCTGTAACATAATGATTCCCTCACATTTTCTTCTGAAAATGTGGCTGTTAGCACAATTTAAAAAAATAAAGATGAAAAGGAGAGAATCTACATTTTCTGTACTAAGTACAGATTTTATATACATTATTTCAAATGCACAAAAGCCTATGGGGTAGCATCTCATTTTGCAGATTGAAAAAAGAGAGAGAGCTTTGAAACCTTGAGTAATGGGCACAAGACCACCCAGAAAAAATCAGAGCTAGGCCTTGCCTCACGCCCAAATTTATAAGTCTTCCCTAAGATAAAAAGCCAGGCAGGGGCCTCCCCTGGTGGAGCAGGCAGTTGAGCACCGTGCTGTGAAGCTGTCCGCAGCCTCTGGAGCACCGGTTTGATCCTGGCTGGCCAGCGAGGGTCCCACACGGCGCCGGCAGATCTCTCCTGTAGCACCCGCTGTTCCCCTCAGCAGTGTATTTATCTTCAGTCTGCCTGTTCTGTTCCCTGCTCTGTCTCTGGTGAATTCTCTCACCCTCATCTGGCCTGTACCCCGGTTCTTGTGTAAATGAATAAATAAATCTTTAAAAAAAAAAAAAAAAAGCCAGGCAGGCTGGAATGGGGTGGACTCCCCTGGCCCTTGGCACACACTCTGACTGACACAGGGAGGCCCTGGAGAGAGGACAGGGTCAGCCAACTCACACATATCTCCAGGGGGAGATGGACCTGCTGCTGAGGGGTCCGTCTTCACTGGCCCTGCAGGATTCACTGTTGTGGGTGAGGCTGGCCGCCTCTGGCGGAGACACGAGCACGGAGTTCCACTTCAGCCATTCCTCCTTAGGGTCATGTCCTTTGCTTTGGCCGTGACAGCAGCTGGGCCAATGAGTACAGTCCCTCTGCAGCCGCAAACTGATGGTGTGGGTCCCCACAACCATTGCCAAGAATGTAATCACCTGTGGGAAAAGACCAGTGAGAAACCTGCTCTCACCTACTCCATGCCCCCTCACCCAGCTGCTTCTGAGATCCTGGTTTCTACCTCCGCTTGGCCTCCAGGACCAAACCTGGGAGCCTGACCTCCCTCCATCCTCAGCAACATGCCTGCTCCCTTCCAGCTCAGCAACACTGGCCCAGGTCTCTCCACACTTACCTGGTACATGTTGGCTACTGCTTGCCAGGGAGGTGCTGCACTGGCTGACAGGAGGCAGGGCCTTGTGGAGCAGGCTGACTAGAGCAGTTTAGGAGTCCTGGTTTTATTTTCAGAAAGATGTTTTGTTTATTCAAATTTATTTCCACTACCTTTAAGGGAGTGGCCTGAGATTAAAACAAAACAAAACAAACCCCCAAAAAAACCTGAGTCTTTCCAAATGTTCTTAAAACGCTATACTCATGGAAGTTGTGATTAACATCCTGGTCAGGCAGATGGCTTATTGGGTAAACTTTGTCATTGACACTTTTCCGGGCGTGGGGTCAGAATAATATTAGTATTCTGTCCTGCTAGCCTTTGATAATGGGCATTATGGGAATTTCCCTGCTTGGTTTGGTACCCAAAATTAAGGAACATCATCTGGTCTCTTTAAAGAGGCCTCCTTTCCAGGATCTCTGCTGCTCCCACCCAGGATCTTGTCTCCTCTATTCCCGCCTCCTTATCAGTCACCTCAGTGAACATTTCCCTTTCCCTTTATCACCTTTGACCCTCAACCATGCTGCTCTCTGGCCTCTCCCTTCCCTTTAATGACACCCCTGTCATCTAAGACTTCTCTACTTTGTCCATTGGCCATTCTCTAACTTCCCTCCCTTTTCAGGGGCAGTTTCCTTGACATCCCCAGGGCTGGGGATATCGGCCTAACCCATCAGGATTGCCAAAAAGGCCCTGACCCCGTAAGTTTGATGACTGGAGGCACAGGGTCTGATGGAAGCAGGTGGAGGAGACTGCATAGCACAAACAAGAAGGTGAGACCAGAAAGAGGGGGGTATGGTGACAGCCCCACCTAAGACCCGATTGAGCCCCAGTTCCAGGATCAGCCTGCCGACACCCCCACTCACAGGACACTGGGGACAAGGGCCATAACAGGGGGAGCGGCCACTCTCAGGGCATGGGGTGAGCCCATCCAGCCTCAGCGCCCCCACGTCCATGGAAACTATTAGCCAGGAGGAGTTATGTGAGCTCCAGAAAGGCACCCTAAGCTGGGCTTGACCCTAAAGACACAGCTCAGCAGGGGGCTACCCCACCTAGGGTCTCTGGGGGGCTCTGGGGGGCCAGAGCCTACTTCCCCCCAACATGTTTTCTCTTCATCTCTGCCCATCAATCCCCCTCATCCTCCACACCCACAATTCCCCACCACAACACGAACACAAATGTCTCTTAGCATTATGTGTTTCAGATTTGCATGTGTTTTCCCTTAGAAAATATACCTTTGGTAACCAAGGACTCCGGAAATAAACAAGGAGAACAAGGAATAACTTGAACTGCAGAGTGAGGAGGAATCCCTCAAATGCTTTAGGACAAAGCAGCCCCAAAGCTGAGGAGTGAGGAGATGAGGGGGCATTCTGGAGAAATGGGAGAAGCTGCTCTGGTGAGTGTGGGCAGCCTGGAACTGGCCATGGATGACAAGGGGGAGTGATGGGCAGGGATGAGGAGAATATGTAGTGGCTGGGAGAACAGCGACACTCAGGAGGAGCACTGAGACCAGGAAGAGAAGGCCGCGTTCCCCCAGCCCACTCTCTGCACCTTTGCTCCCAGACACCCTTCCAGACATTGATAATCTCAGCTCCTGTGCATCGGATGCCATGATGGTATCAAGTCCTACAACATGGGTCAGTTCATTTCATCCTTACAATAAAATTGTGAGAATGAAACTGACATCCCCATGTTACAGATAGGAAACTAAGACCCAAAGAAAATAGTTATATACCCCAGGAAGCAGCAGATCTGGTTTTCCACTCTAGCCCTGACCAACTCGAATCTAAGCACCTGGCACAGAGTCAGCTTGTCTGCAAATGGAAGGGAAGCTCCTGCAGTAAATGCTTTCTTACTAGACTGGGACAGGTCTCATCTGAACCAGCCCCAGGTCACAGGGCATTCCTGCCCACTTAGTTAGATATTAGCCCTGTTGGCTGGGATCCATTGCTCTAGCTTCCTTTTCCCCAGCCTTTGCTCTGGCACGTGTCCCCTGTAGTGGCTTGTAGTGTTCCTGAGAAACCCCCAAGCCCAGAAATGATGTTAGTGCTCTTGTAGAAGAACTGGATCCTTATGGGTATCTCGCTAAACTATCAGAGCCTCAGGGTCCAGGGAGCAGAACTGAAGAATGACTTTGGCCATATCTCTTGATCTTGGCTCCGAGCACCCCCCAAGGAGGTGGTGCTAGAAAGAGCTGGAAGAGATCCAGGCTATTTTTTTCACTTGCTGATGCTGCTGGGGACCCAGACTGGGTTTTCCAGGACAGGGTCTTTCAGGAGTGGCTTCTGGTTGTCACCCTGCTTCTGTACTAGGACCTCCTTTGAGGAAACTCCTGAAAAGCAGAGGGAAGGTGCCCTCCAAGCACATAGGCATCCAAAGGATTGGCCTTATCCACCCTGTGCCAAGCAGGCCTGAACCAGTAACCTGTATCTTGAGCCACACACCTCAGCCACCCTCCCGGGTTCCCCGTCACCGCCCCCGCCAGGCTCTGCTCTTATCTCAATAGCAGTTCTCTGGGATTCCTTAGGGTGACTCCCTGTGATGAGAAACATTTTCCAGAGGGGTTTCCTCCTGGGGTGACTAGTTTTGGAATCCCTGAGTCACTTCAGCTTCCAGGGAATCCTTGGGGGGTGTGGAGAATTGGGGGTGGCAATGGGGAGAATGCTGGAGGTGGCAGCAAAGGAAAGTTCGCCCACCACCTGTCAACAAGGGTGTCTCCCAACGTGTCCTCACCTGCCTGGGCCTGACCTGCCAGCTAGAGGGGACTTGCTGGAACCCACCCCTGAGACCCTGGGAATTGAGATCAGCAACTGCGGGAAGGGCAAGGGAAATATGACTGAATACACCCCATCCTTGACCAAGAAAGGCTCTAAGGCTTGCAGGAGCTAAAATATGACTTTCCTGCCCTGTCTCAGACAGACATGTGAGTTCTTATCAGCTACCTTGAGGTTCCCACCCTGCCTCTGATTAACTCTCAACCTTGGGCCCTCTGCTCCTTTCACCTGATTTGTAGAAGTATGTGTGCTTGGTGGGAGGGGGAGGGTGGGGGGCAGGAAAGGGAGGATCAGTAACCTAGATAGCCACAAAAACACAACCAGCAGCTTAGCTGCTTTGGAATTCGGGTTCTGAAACCACACCATCCTGGTCTTTTCAAGCTTACCCACATCACCCATGTGACTGAGGCACTGGTGATTAGAACACTGCAATACTTCTGCTCCTGCTGCTAAACAGATACTCACCCACAGTGCAGCCCCTACCACAGCCTTCCTATGATCCAGCTACTAAAGGGTGCTGGAGGGCCCCACCTGTTCCAGATGGGGCCCTCCAGGACACTGTCCCCATACCCTGATTGGTAGGTGATTATGGTGCTGGTTGCTAATCACCTGTATTCTCAACTTTAGTTACAAAGCTGCTCAGGCTCAGGGGCCTAGCTTCAAAATCCAATCTGGCCTGGGAGACCCAGGAGAATCCTAGTGAACAGTACAAAAAGTTTCCAGCAACTACCTCCCACGCCCCACACAGGTCTGGAGCATCCCCAGGGAGGGCCCACTCAACTTTGTCCTACAGTCTTGGCAGCCTTTGTTCATTCATCCACTCACCAAATATTTATTGAACACCTACTATACCGTAGGCATCATTCTAAATCTAAGTATGCAGAGGAGGACACCCCTGATAAGCTCTCTGCCTTCTGAAGCTTATGTTTTAGGAGGAGACAGAGGATAAACAAGGAAACAAGGTAATTTCTGATAACAGTAAGTGTGATGAAGAAAATGAAACAGTGTTATGAGATAGTCTCTGGGGGAGGGAGCAATTTTAACCTGAAAAGGTAAGAGAAGATAGCATTTGACATGAGGAGGGAAAGGGTCTGGGGGCAGAGTGGTTTAGGCAGAGGAAGAGGGACATGCAGAGCCCTAGAGGTGACAAAGAGCCTGGCATTACTGAGAAACAGAAAAGAGTGCAGATGGAAAACAAAGAGCAAGGAGGCGAGGGGTATGAGATAAGGTGGAAGAAGTGACCCCCGATTAGATCACATAGGGCCTTACAGACTGTGGGAGAGCATTTAGATTTGTTTCAAGGTCAGTGGGAAGGCACTGACTGGATTCGAGCATGATCTGCATGATGTTGAGTGTCACCATGTCCCTGACATTCTGCTGCCCCTACAGAGCTGCCATCAAATAACAATGATAATAGTTGCTTTTATGCAAAATTTGAGCATACTGGGCCAGCACTGGTTTCAGGATTCTCTCTCTCTCTTTTTTTTTTTTAAGATTTATTTATTTATGCATACAAGAACTGGGATATCCTATGCATACAGGATATATGTGGGGGGGGGGGTGGGAGGACCCATCAGAGACAGAGTGGGGAGCAGAACATGCGGATCTACTGAAATACACTGCTGAGGGGAACAGTGGGCGAGACAGGAGAGGTCTGCTGTGCCATGCGGGTAGCTCCCTGGCTGGCTGGGGGATGGAATTTGTGCTGCAGAGGCTGCGGACTGCTTCACAGTGCTGTGCTTAGCCCCTTGCGCCACCGCCACTGGGGAGGTCCTCAGAATTCTCTTAACAAGACAGCGTGATGGCTTCCATTATTACCCCACTTTACAGGTAAAGAACCAGAGGTTCCAAGAGGTCACGAGCTTGTCAAAGTCACCAGCCTATGTTGAAACTGGCACTTGAACCCAGATAATCTGGTGCTATGGAGTCCAAAGACAGAACTGGAAGGATTGGTGAGCACCTGAGAGAGTCTGTATAGCAGGAGGAACAAGGACAGGTTAGGAAAGTAATGAGGTGAGATGAGGAAGACCAGCTGATCCGAGCCTGCCATCAGGGGGAAAGAGTAAGAGAGAAGACAGGGACCCAGAAGTCACATGGAGGTGTTCCTTCCCTTCTATTTCCTGAACATGGTAGGTTGAGGCCGGTTGAGGGCACAGCTGCCTCAAGCTGCCACCCACCCAGGGTCTGCCCAACTGCCTAGGCTTTCTCCAATCCCACCTGGAGTCAGAGGTCTCCCTGAACAAGTTAGAATCACCTTCAAACTCTGTTTGTGAAGGAGAGAACAAAGATGAGGCATAAAAACAGGGGAAAGGCTCCTCCTGCCCTGGACAAAGATACTTTCAGCATTCATGAACTCATGGGAGGGGATAGGAGAAGACAAAATGAAGAGAAGGGGCCTCCCTGGTGGCACAGGGGTTAAACACAGCGCTACCAGGCTATCGCCAGCCACTGCAGCATGAGTTCCATCCCTGGCCCAGCCTGCTCCCCTCACCCGCCGCTCCCCTCAGCAGTGTATTTCAGTAGATCTGCCTGTTCTACTCCCCACTCTGTCTCTGGTGAATCCTCTCACCCCCCTCCCCCCGCACCTCTGGCTTATACCCCAGTTCTTGTATGCATAAATGAATAAATGTTCTTCAAAAAAATGAAGAGGAAAGGCCACGGAAGGAGGTCTTTGCTAGGCCTCCACATATATTTACTCCTCCTCATCGCAGTCACTGAGGAACTAAGGCTCTTTACTTACATTTACTCACCAGAGTCACTGAGGATCTGGTGGAACTGAGATTCAAAGATGTTTTATATACCAGCGTCACACAGCGAATAACCAGGATTCACTCTCCAAGTCTGACTGGCTAGACTCCAGGCCTGTGCACTCCAGAAGCTCAATCTTCCTTCCTGCAGGCTTGTATATTTCCCGGGGAAGAGACTCCCATCATCCATCTCCCAAACCACCATTTTGCCTGGTCCTGAGACTCCTCTTTCCTACTTAATCTTTTCTGGCCTCCATCTATTTCCCCTTGTGGCAGTCAGAACTTCATCTCTGAGAACTAATTTCCTGTCCACTTCCACCTTGGGCCCCAATTTGCCTGGACAGAGATCATAACAAATCAATCAGGGCCCAGGCCCTATCCATGTTCCAGGCAGCCAGGCCCCCCAGGGAGACTACCTACAACCAGGGCGGAGCAGGGATGTGGGAGCTCTTTCTTCAGATGCATCTAGAAATTTCAAAGTTCCACTGCGATCGTGAGAGTCTGAGTCTGAGTTCAGAATTCCTAGTCTCTAGCCCAGATCTGCACCTCATCACTGAGGCAAGCCCAGAACCATTGTCCATTTCCATACTCACCCCAAAATCTCTCCCGAATCCACCCCTTAGATTTTCCCTCTACAGAGGGTTTTTCGTCTATCCTCAGCCTTCTTCCTACAAGTTGCCTGAGTGTTCAGTCTGAAATGTGGGGAGTAGGAAAGGGAGCATCCCTTAAATTAGACTCCTGATGTGATCTACAAATGAGGTTTTAAGCAGCACCATTGCCTATTTTTATGTGTTTGAAGTGTTAATTTGTTAAATGTAAACAATGAAGCTATATTGCAGCTTTTCACCCTGTTTGGCATCTCATTTTTTAAATACCAGGAACCTCAAAAACAGAAGGAAAGCTTCCCCGCAGCCTCTGAAGCCTTGATGTGTGCTGCTAAAGGAAGAACCAAGAGAGGGAGAGGTGTGGACACCCAAGAGCCCAGTCCTTTCAGCTGAAACTCGCGGCGAGGCCAGATCCCAGATGCTCTGAAAGAGTTCAGTCCTTTTGTGCCTGCTCCTCCAGGCAGCAAGAGGAAAGGAGTGAGCCAAGGTAAAGGCGGGGGACAGGCCCAGACTGGCCGAGTCGTGTAAGAGGCGGCCCTACCCCCAGCCCGCCCGCCTGCAGCGCGAGGACCTGACTCTCAGGCTGCATTCGTGGGGAGTCGGTCCGGCGCAGACCGCCGCTGTCCCCTCCAGGAGCTGCCGGGTTCACCCCGCCGCCCCTGCAGAGGCGGAACCTAGGGAGAAGAGGGGCTCCACTGAGGAGCCCAAAAAGGCGGGAGGAGCGCGCTCCCCAGATGTGGGGCTAATGAAAGGGAGGCTGAGGGGCGCGGGGCTGGCAGAGAGCGTGAAGCCCCCAGCCCACCCCAGCTCCGGGGGGGCCCCCCGCAGCGACGGTCGGGAGCCCGAAAGCGCCGGAGAGGGGCCGGGAGGGGGCGTGCAGTTTGGCCCCCGGGTCCGGAGCTGAAACCCAACACCCGCCTTTGGAGGGACCGTCCCCTCTCCCCCCCCCGCCCCTCCCCGCCCCTCCTTTCCCTGCCCCCCTCCTTTCTCTTAATCCCCAGGACTGCGCCCCGCGCCGGAGCCGTGAGGGCCGGAGGGGAGGAGAAAGGAGCTACGCTGAGAGCGAGCCCGGAGCCCGGGAAAGGGGGGGACGGGGAGCCGCGAGCAGGGGGTGAGCCCGAGGGCCGCGCGCGACCCCCGGAGCCGTCCCGGCGCTCTCAGTGTCCCCCGCCCCCACGTCCAGGCGAGTCCGTAGGACCCCGGCCCCAGCTCTTCCGTCGCCTGCTTCTTGCTTCTTTTGCTTTGTGGCTTTTCCCTCTGCTCCCGGCGTCCCTGGGACTTGCCCCGGACTCTGGGGGGCGCCCGGGGAGGGGCTGCCACGAGCGCCCTCAGCGGCCGCGGGCGGGGAGGGCCGAGGCGGGAGCGCGGGGCAGGGACCCCGAGGCAGGGACCCCGCGCGCCCGGGCCGAGGGGCGCAGGGGGGCGTGTGCGCCCCTACGCGGCACCGGGAAGGCGTCCCGCCCCTTCGGGGCCGGCAGCCGGGCCCGCCTGCGGGTGCTGAGGCGCCGTCTCGGCGCCCCGAGAGCCCCGGGCGCGCGTCTGAACCCGCCTCGCCGCCGCGCGGACGCGTGTCTGGGCCGAAAGCCGCTGGAGCAGCGCGCCCCCCGAGGCCCCCGGCGCGGCCGCGCCCCCGGCCCTCAACTTGGGCGAGTTCAGAGACGGGGGGCGCCTCTGCTCCCGCGCGCCTGCCCGCCCTCCCGCGCGGCGCGGCCCGGGCCCGCGGGACCACAGCCCGGGAGCGCCGCTCTCCGGCGCGGGCCCCGAGTGGGGTGAGGGCTGGCCCTTAAACTCGCTCGTCCAGCCCAACCGCCCCGGCGGCTTCTCCCAGCCCTCGGGGCCGTCCTGAGCGGCCCGGAGAGGCGTCGAGCGCGGCTCCAGCGCCCGCCTCCTCTCCCGCCTCGGCCCTGCAAGGGAGCTACCGGCCCATGCGCTTCGGGGGGCCCCCCGCGCCTTAGAGCAGGCAGCTCGCGGGGCCCCGCCACGCTCGCGGCGCGGCCCCCGGAGGCCGCAGGGACAGCACAGAGCGCGCACCCTTGGATGAGGGCCCGCAGCGACGCCCCGGCCCGCCCCGCCCCTCCTCCTGCCTGGCCGGGCTGCCTCCCATTTGGGGAGTTTTGTGGGGTTTCTTTCTCCTCCTCCAACCTCCGCGGAGGCCACGACTCAGGCGCCGGGGTCGCCTCCATGGTGCGGGGCAGCCACCGCTGAAGTCCGCGAGCCCGCGCCCGGCCTGGAGCAGGCCGCGAGGGAGGCGAGGCCATGGCCATAGCCACGTCGGTGAGTCCACCCGGGCGAGGAGGCCGCGCGGCAGGGACCTCCACTGCCCGCCCTGCGCTCCGGGCACTTTTATTCCTGCCTTCTCTTTGTCTCTCTCCCTGGCCCCTTTCTCCTCCTGGAGGCTGCTCCTCTCCTCGCACTTTTGTTTCCCTTTCTCCCCCTCACTCATCCGTAGCTCCTTCTGGGTCTGGGTTTCCCCTCACCCCCCCCCCCACTCCTGTTCTTTCTAGAGGCGGCCCCTGGAAGAAGGGAGGGGGCGCGTCTCGCCAGAGCCCTATCTGCTCCCTCATGGGCGGGAACAGATGGCCACTGGTGGTTGGCGGGGGCTTGCGGTTGGGAGGCAAGTGAAAGATTGGGAATGGGAGGAAAGAACGGCGGCGGGTAGAAGAAGTGCACAGAAACGGAAAATGGGAGTCACCAAAGGGCCCGAGGAGGCCCTTCTCTAGAGCTGAGATGGAGAGCAGGGGAGAAATTGAGCAAGGAGGGATGGGGTGGGGGGTCCGAAGGAGGAGGGGCGGTGATGTCAGCCAGCCTCTAGCCACTTTCCGGGGACTGGGGACAAAGGGAGGAGACAGCTGGCATGATGGGAGAGTGGGAGGAGGCCGCCCTGAGAGCTTGTGGCCCACTGCCACCTCCCATTCGGGCAGCCACTCCCTCACAAGTCATCTGGGCCCCTGAGGAGGGGGTAGGGCAGGGGTGGCCACACCCATCATCAATCAGTCTATCAGCTGCCCTGGCCTGGGTTCTGGAAATTGCAAGGCCCAGGGGTTTGGCCCCATTGGACAGAATTCAAACCCAACACTGGGAGGAGTTCTCTACAGCCCCACCTCTGCTTTCTGTCCTGCCCTCCTCTGGATCCAGGGACTCTGTACCCCTTCCACCCTTCGCTAGGCCCTAGAATTTCTCAGGCTGCCTCTGCTTTCTGGCCCCTCTAAATGAATACTCTGGGAAGGATTGCGAGGCTGGAAAGAGAAGCATGACATCCTCCCATGAACGGACTCCTCAGACCAAACTCCCTGGAGTTCCTCCATTGCTATGATGATGAGAAGAACACAGCTCAGAGCCAGGAGAGGCAGGGTGGTCCTGAAAACAGTGGCAGTACTCTGACATAAAGGTGTTGGCCCAGGAACCAGCCAGTTGGCTGTGTAGTCATATGAGATAGATTTTTCTTTTTACCTAGAGATGGGGGGGGTGATATTTATGCTAATCCAGCTCAGGAACTTAATAACAACCAATATTTATGGAGTACCCACTACACCTGGCCCTATGCTAAGCCTTGTCCTGTTTTTCTGTTTTGTTTGTGTTTGTTGTTTTTTTGTTTTGTATTGTTTTTTGATGCATTATCTCATCCAGTCCTCATAACTACACTGTGAGGATAGTACTGTTATTATCTGAAAATGGATATTCGGATATGGAATTCTACAAAAGAAGAAACTAAGGCTCGGAAAGGTTCAACAACCTGCCCAAAGTCACCCAGCTAGAAAGGTACAGAGCCAGGACTCAAACCCAGGTCTGTCTGCCTCAGAACTGTGTTCTTAACCCCCGGCGAGATCCAAAACACCGATTTGTAATTTACAATTAGAAAGAGATGCTGAGCTAACCAGGAATTGGAGTCATCTGTTAGCATGCGTTCTTAGTGTGGGACATTATCTTTTAGAATCCAAGATATAATCAGAAAGCGGTTTGATGAGTTTGGAATCAGGCAAGAGGAGAAGACAGATTGTTGTTAAAAATCACCCAGCCATGAAGGGCTGGACAACCTCTCCACCCGAGGGAAACATGCGCTCCTGCTGGCAGAGCAGGACATCCTTCCCACGGCCTGCTGGCCAAATGCAGCCTCCCAGAGAGCTTTAACTTGAGATTTTTAACTGAATTAGTTAGCCCGCTTGGATTAACTGTCGGTGAGGCCTACCTACCTGCTCGCCACCGCCATTGTGCAAGCCTGGGTCCTGCCCCGGGCACTGCCATTTAGTAAACACAACTTGAACCAGAATATTTTTTTTTCTTCAAAGATTTATTTTTATTTATTTATGCATACAGGAACTGAACTCTGGTCTAGGGCTGGAGACCAGAGATGCAGGGGGTAAGAGGATTCACCAGAGACTGAGTGGGGAGCAAAACAGGCGGATCTTCTGAAATACACTGCTGAGGGGAGCAGAGGGCAAGACAGGAGAGGTCTGCTGCCCCATGTGGGTCAGCTCCCCTGCCGGGAGATTGAACTCAGGCTGCAGTGGCTGGCAGTAATTTGGTAGCGCTGAGACTTAACCGCTGCACCACCAGGGAGGCCCTGAAGCAGAATATATTTAACATTGTGAATGTTTTTTTTTTTTTTTTTAAGATTTATTTATTCATACAAGAGCTGGGATACAGGCCAGAGATATGGGGGAGAGGAGTTGAGAGGATTCACCAGAGACAGAGTGGGGAACAGAACAGGTAGACTGACTGAAATACACTGCTGAGGGAGCAGCAGGTGAGACAGGAGAGGTCTGCCGCGCCATGTGGGTTGCTCCCTAGCCGGCCTGAGATTGACCTCGTGCTGCAGAGACTGCGAATTGCTTCATAGTGCAGTGCTTCACCCCTTGTGCCACCAAGGAGGCCCAACATTGTGAATGGTTTAAACTTGATTCTACCAAAAGCATCAAGGAAACAGATAACTATGAAATATTATTAGCAAAAGGAAATTGAATGTAGTGAGGCCTTCATATGTGCTTGACTTAACCATTGTTACTAATATAAGAAGAGTAGTCCTGATGTTTGTGATTGCGGAGAGCTATCAGAGGAGTGATGGAGCATGATTCCAGGCTCTGGAATCAAACAACCTGGGGTTCAAATCACATTCCACCAACTATTCTAGCTGTGTGTCACTGGGCAAAGTGCTAACCTCTCTGTTCCAATTTCCTTTCCCGGTGGGGATAAAGATAGCCCCTCCCTCATAAGGTGGTTGTGAGGATTAAATGAGATGAGATGAATGAGGCAAAGACTTGTGCAGTCTGGATACATAATTTGCACCTGTATCAGTGATTTTTTTTTTTTTACCTGAGCATGTGACTCTGCAAGGAAAAAAGCTTAGATGCCCCCACCAGATAATACTAGAGACAGGCTGATATGTTTGCTCTTGGTTGGTCCAACAGACAGCACCCCCCGCCCCTTCCCTACATGCGTACTGGAGCACATACATTTTCCCCTTCTCCATGGTAACCTCAGCCACTTCTAATAGACACTTATTTGCTCAGTCTGAGAACAAAACCTTTGCTTTGGTTTCTTCTATATTATGCTTAAATACTTATCTGGGCCTGACTTCTAGTCGCTCTCAGAATGAGGGATCTCTGCTGCTGCTTAATCTAACCTTTTGTTTATAGGGATGCTGACTGGGAAACAGCTTCAAGAGATTCTCTGAGAGAGCTTCTTAGCAGCATTTCCTCATGACCAATAGGGAGGAAATTTATGCAACGTGTGTTTATTGAGAACAGATTCCTACTCAGGCTCGATTGCTGGGGCTAGGAATAAGGCAGTGCTTGTTCTCACAGGGCTTACAGTGTAAGGGGGGGAAATCAATAATAAAAAAGAAAATAGTAGAAAGTATTGTGAAGGAAACAATGGGTGGAGACACAGAATGGGGGGGAAGACCTCTTTGAGGACATATTTAAGCAGAACTGAAGGATGGAAAAGGATGAGTCAGATGAAGAGTCAGTAGAAGAGCATTCTGGGTAAAGGAAGTAGTAAGTGCAAAGGCCCTGAGGTTGGGGGAAACTCGGCTGGTTCAAGGAGGAGGGCAAGTACAGGGGATGAAGCTAGAAACAGGAAGGACTGAGCCGGGAATTCAGTTCTTCGCTTGAAGGCAATGGGAGGCTCTGAAGTGTTTTGAGCAGGGAGTGACATGACCTGATACCTATGTGAAGACCCCTCTCCCCACTCCCACCTCATCCACCAGGCCCAGCTGGCCCGGGCCCTCTACGACAACACTGCCGAGTCCCCCCAGGAGCTGTCCTTCCGCCGAGGGGACGTTCTACGGGTACTGCAGAGGGAGGGCGCTGGCGGGCTGGACGGCTGGTGCCTCTGCTCCCTGCACGGTCAGCAGGGCATCGTGCCCGCCAACAGAGTGAAGCTCCTTCCTGCTGGCCCAGCACCCAAGCCCAGCCTCTCCCAGGTGCCCCCAGCCCAGCCTGGCTCGCCACATCCAGCCCCCGAACACAGCAGTGAGGACCAGGAGGTGAGAGCTGCAGCCCTCCCAAGCCCACGCCAAGAAAACCCCACTGTCCTGTGCTGGCGTCTGCGGCGAGGCGGGGCCGGGAGAGCGCCGAGCTGGTCGCTCCTCACCGACTGCTGAATGAAGCCTGTCTGCCAGCCCTGTCCTGCCTCTGTTTCCCCACTGCTTCAGGGAGGGGGTTGGAAGGTGTCAGCCCCTCCGAGGCACGCCTATGATTCACTGGCCCCTCACAAGTGACCCACCCGCCCATCTGTGTTGATCCCCCAGGTGTATGTGGTGCCACCCCCAGCTCGGCCCTGTCCTGCTGCAGGATCTCTGGCTGGAGCCTGCCCATCCTCCCCTGACCCCATCTACAAGGTTCCCCGAGGCAGCGGGACCCAACTGACTGCCCCTGGCGACGCCTTGGAGGTAAGGAACAGGGTGTGTGTACGTGTGTGCGCGCGCGTGTGTGTGTGTGTGTGTGTGTGGTGTGAGAACAGGGCGAGCCCATCGCTAAGCCTGATGGTAACTGGCCGTTCTCTCTCCAGGTCTACGACGTGCCCCCCACTGCCCTCCGAGTTCCCTCCAGTGGTCCCTATGACTCCCCTGCCTCCTTTTCCCGCCCTCTGGCGCGAGTTGCTCCGCAGTCACCTGGAGAGGATGAAGCTCCCTATGATGTACCTCTGACCCCAAAGCCACCTTCTGAACTGGAAGCGGATCTGGAGTGTGAGGGAGACCGGGAACCAGGGCCTCCCCTCTACGCTGCCCCCTCCAACCTGAAACGGGCATCAGCCCTGCTCAATCTCTACGAAGCGCCTGAGGAACTGCTAGCAGATGGAGAGGGCGGTGGCGCTGAGGAGGGCATCTATGATGTGCCCCTGCTGGGGCCAGAGGCACCTCCTTCTCCAGAGTCCCCAGAAACCTCCACCTCCAATGACCTGGACACCCTGGCCCTGCTTCTGGCCAGAAGCCCCCCACCCACACACAGGCCCCGGTTGCCCTCAGCCGAGAGTCTGTCCCGCCGCCCTCTGCCAGCTCTGCCTGTCCCTGAGGCCCCCAGTCCTTCTCCAGCACCCTCTCCTGCTCCAGGCCGGAAAGGCAGCATCCAAGACCGGCCTCTGCCCCCACCGCCACCCCGCCTTCCTGGCTATGGAGGCCCCAAGGTTGAGGGGGACCCAGAGGGTGGGGAGGTGGAGGAGGATCCAGCAGGACACCACAATGAATATGAGGGCATCCCAGTGGCCGAAGAATATGACTATGTCCACCTAAAGGTAAGCTTAACTCTGGCTAGCCCCCCTGCCAGGGCGGGGGTGGGGGAACAGAAGGGTTACGGGGAGTGGGGTTGGAGCTGAGAGAACAGAGTTGCATTGGGGGAGAAGCAAGTAGGCCTGGGGCCAGATGCAGACCTTCCTTTTTGTCTCCTCCGCTGGCCCTGTGGCCTGGGAGCCTAGTAGTTGGCCACACCACTTATACCAGTGCCACATACCTCCCCCTAAATGCAGTCTGGGGTCCCTGTGTGCCTGGGGTTCTTGGCACAGAGCTCTCCCAGACCTGGAGTCAACTTCTGATGGCAGAGGAGTCCTCACAAAGGAAGGGGGGCTGGGAGGGACAGGAAGTCCATGGATACCACCCTGTCCTCCCTACTCCTGCACTGAGACCCTGATCCCCTCCTGCAGGGCATGGATAAAGCTCAGGGACCTAGGCCTCTGGATAAGGCCATCCCAGGGGATCCTGAACTGCTGGACAGGGGGCTGCCGGAGCAGCAGGTAACCCTGGGGAGGGGGTGCTGGAGAAGAGTCTGAGGAGGGAGGAGCAAGAAATTGAAAGGAGTGCTCTTTACAGAACCCGCAAGGGAATAGAGTAAGATGGGGGTGAGAGTTCAGTGGGCAAGACAGTTGGAGTAGGAAGGATTTAGGATTTGGCCAAAGGGAGCTGGAACGTAGAAAAGGATGTCAGGAATTTAGAAAGAGGGGAAAGAATGTGCTGGAGTGCAGTCAGAAAACTGAGCAGCCGGCAATCAAAAACGGTTTCTGAGCTGCGGGTCAGAGCTGGGCCCGGTGACTTCTAGGCTCCTTCCAGCTGAATTCCTGGGTTCCTAAGAGACCTCCTAATCCTAGCGCCACTGCTCAGAAGCCAGGGGCTCTGAAACCATCCGTTAATCTCTCTAGGCCTCAAGAAAGTGAGGTGGTCTCCTCAAATCTGTCTAGAATGGCCCTAATCACAGCAGCTTCCATTCATCAGTTTTCCTGGGCTGCAGGGCCACAGTTTATGCTCAGAGGGCGCTCGCCGCGTGCGCTGGGCCGTCTCTGGGCTGCCCCCATCACCCTCCACACCGGCAGCCAGCAAACCCGAGGGGGCGGAGGGGTGGAATGCAGGAGAAGGGAAGAAATGAGCAGAAATGGAAGAAGTACAGTAGCCACTAGCCTCTAGCCACATGTGGTATTAAATATAAATGTCAAATGCACATCACAGTTATTCTTTATATGGATTCATGTTGAAATGACAACACTTTATGTAACTGAAGTTAAAAAAAATACAACAGCTTCTTTTTGCTTTTCTTAACATGGCTGCTAGAAATTTCTAAATTACGTGTATGGTTCTTATTATGCTTCCATGGGACGGCACGCTACCAGAGTGCCCATTCTAGAGATTGTGAAGCAAAGAAGTTCAGAGGCTTATTTGAGGATGTTTGAATCCGGGTTTTTTGACATCAAGTCTGGGCACTTTCCTGCACTCTGAGAATCTAAATTTTCTGATGGGCAGAGGAAAGAGTGAAAGGGATGACATTCAGGAAGAGAGAATGAGGACAGGAGGAATAAGGACTAAAGGGAGGGCACTAACGAGAGTGCTCCCACTGACCATCTGTCTTGCCCCTCAGAAGGCCCTGTCCCCCGGAGAGCCGCTGGTTCTGCCCACCGGAGATCTCCAGCTCCTACACTTCTATGCCGGGCAGTGCCAGAACCACTACTCGGCACTACAGTCAGCTGTGGCGGCCCTGATGTCCAGCACCCGGGCCAACGAGCCCCCACGCCTCTTTGTGCCCCACAGCAAGCGGGTGGTGGTGGCCGCTCACCGCCTGGTCTTTGTTGGGGACACCCTGGGCCGGCTGGCAGCCTCTGCGCCTCTGCGAGCTCAAGTTGGGGCTGCAGGTACAGCGCTGGGCCAGGCACTGCGGGCCACTGTGCTGGCTGTGAAGGGCGCCGCCCTGGGCTACCCATCCAGTCCTGCAGCCCAAGAGATGACGCAGTGTGTGGCAGAGCTGGCAGGGCGGGCCCTGCAGTTCACCACCTTGCTCACCAGCCTGGCCCCCTGAGGGTGCTATGACCCTCTCTTCCCTTTACCTGCCTGCCAGAGTTCTCCACCCCCAGGCCCTGGGTGGCTGGAAGGCTCTGTTTTGGGGGCCAGGAGAGGTGGAAGCATCTTCCCCCATTCTGGTCATCTCAGCCTCTCACAGAGGCATCCCCCACCCCGCAGCTTTTTGTACGAGCCATTTTGTATAAATTATTTATATTTAATATTATTTCCTGCTTTGTCTGGGACAGGCACAGGCCCTCTGGGGTAGTGAGGAACTGGCCCTTCTTCCTCCCTCAGCCTGGGGTGGAGGTTCTTGGTGATCGCACTTCCCCCTTCCTCTGGACTTCAGAGAGAAGCAGGTGACTGGAACCTCTTTCTTGTCCTGTTTCTTGACTCTGGAACAACAGTGCCTCACTAGTAGCTGGGAGTAGGGACAGGACATTGGCCACCCAGACTGTGGAAGTCTAGAGAGGTCAGAGGGTACCTGCCCAAGGAGGTGGCAGAGACCTAGACCCCAGGTATTAGGTGTGCCCCTCAATAAACCCTGCTGTCTGGTTCCCTGCCTCTGCTTTTGGGAGCCTGGGAGGTGGGCCTGGTACCCCTTGGCCAAATCTGTGGGACTCACATTATGGGCGTGCTATCTGTAGAAGTTAGGAAATTTTACTGTTTCTTCAACAACTGCTCATTCAACGGGCCTCCGCTTCCACGGTGCGCCAGGACTTTGAGGGTATGGTTCTGGTGGGGGTGGGATGGATGTAAAAGAAGCAATTAAAACAATATAAAACAACCCTACCACAGATTTGACAGTGGTGCTGATGGAAATAAACAATGTGATGTGAAAAGACTAAGGGAGGAGAGAAGCCAGTGAGAGAGACTGGGGATGGGGGTGTGCGTGGGGGGCAGTGTATCAGACCCCAAAGATAAGAGAACAGCCCTCCGGGAAGGCAGACTGATACCAATCAGGGGCCTTTCCGCCGAGACTTTACTGTCAAACAGGGTCATTTGGAGGTTCACATGTGGAGACCTGGACAGGTGCCAACCTAAAGAGGTCACCCCAGCAAAGGCCTGTTCTCACCATTGCCCCAGGAGACAGCTCTGGCTAGCTGGAGTGCTGCTGGCCCGCCTGGGTGCCCTCTCCCCTAGGTTAACCCAAGAGGGTCTAGCCCCTGCCCAGGCCACCTGCCGGCTATTCTGGAGGGTATGGGGGACAGAAGAAGGCGTGGTTTGAAGTCCACAACACTTGGAACTTTGGTGAAACTGATGAGCCAAGGCTCAAAGGATCACTCCAGACTCTCCTCACAAGGGAAGTCCAAGCCACAGCTCCATGGCTTTGTTGTTTTCCCAAGATATTCCCCTGGCACAGTGACTGGATTGGAGGCACCCCAAATTTCAATCACAGTCTCTGTCTCTTGGCATGCCCCATGTATTTTGCCTCCTCCATCTTGTTTATCTTCTTTCTCATTTCAATCTCAAAAGAAAATTAATTTCCAGATTCTGGGATCACTAAAATTCACCCCTATGTGTGGAAAACTTACCACGAGGGTCATTCTCCATCTTTGAGAATTTCAAGCCATCAATCTAGAATTAGAATCAGAGCTCTCAGTGCAAGTCCCAGATCTGCCATGTTCGAATGTATCTGTCGGAAACCCTTGTCATTCCCACTGAATCCTGGTTTCATCTTTAATATGAGGGTGATTATAATGGTCTCACGGGGCTGTAGTGAGGCCCTACCAACATAATACATGTGAACAGCTCAGCACCACACAAAGTTAAGGGATTATTATTCCAGGACAGACATCAATCCTCAAGGAATGTTGGCTGTGACGGCACTAAAGTAAACCCTGAAGGGATGCTGAAAGGAGTTGGGGGATGGGAAGTGATGGGAGGCTGCTTAATGTTTCAGAAAAGAAGGATTTTCCATATTTGGAAAATTTTTGAACAGAGGAGACAAATTAGAAGTTGCTCAATTGAGAGAAGAGGAAATGGATAACGTGGCTCAGGCTGTGAAGACACTCCTTTTCAGCTCTTACCTAAGATTAGAGACCAAATTACCTATTTTTTTAAAGATTTATTTATTGATCGATTTATTGATTGATTTATTGATTTATACATACATACATACAAGCACTGGGTACAGTCAGAAACACAGGAGGGTGAGAGGATTCACCAGAGCCAGAGCAGGGAGCAGAGCAGGCAGAAGGACCGAAGTACACTGCTGAGGGGAGCAGCGGGCGGCAGGAGAGGTCTGCGCGCCATGTGGGACCCTCCTCCGGTGGCCGGGGAGCAGCCGGGGATTGAACCGGCGCTGCAGAGGCCGCGGGCAGCTTCGCAACCCAGCGCTCAACTGCTGCACCTAGAGAAGTGTGTCTCTATTGTACATACACCCGTTAAATCTAGTTAAAATGCAGATTATAACTCAAGGACCTGTGACTGCATATCTAACATGCACCCAGGTGATAGGATATTGCTTGTCTGTATATCACACTTAGAGAAACAAAAGAGTTAGGGAAGGCTTTCTGAGGATAATATATTTGAGCTGCCACTTGAAGGATGAGAATTCGACTAAAGCAGAGAAGTCTAAGCATGAGGACAAGCTTGTGCAAAGGTCCTGTGGCACTGGAGAAATTGCAACTGATTAGAGTGCAGAGAATTGGGGGAGAGAGATGAAATGGAGCTGCAGAGAGCATGGAACTAGGCATGCAAGACCAAGTCTGTAGTGTCTAGGATATTAGTGTTTACCTTGAAGGTGAGGAGGAGCCAGTAAAATCTGATGAGATCTGCATTTTGAAGTGCTCACTCCATCTGCACTATGAAAAACAGATGGGGGAAGAGGATACAAAGTGGATACAGAACACCAATTAGGAGGGTTCGGCAGCCTGTACAACAGGGAGCTTCATAATGGGGTAGCAAAGTGGAAGAGCTGAAAACCGAAGAGATAAAAACAGGGTTTTGTTTTGTTTTTAAGATTTATTTATTCATGCATACAAGAACTGGAGTGCAGACCAGATGTGTGGGGATGGGGGGGGAGTGAGAGGATTCACCAGAGACAGAGCGGGGAACAGAACAGGCAGACTGACTGAAATACACTGCTGAGGGGAGCAGCGGGCGAGACAGGAGAGGTCTGCCGCACCATGAGGGTATCTTCCCAGCCAGCTGGGATTGAACCTGCGCTGCAGAGACTGCGGACAGCTCTACAGCCTGCACTCAACCGCCTACACCACTAGGGAGGCCCAAAACAGGGTTCGTAAAAGATTTGACATGGTGTCAGGAAAGAGTACGCTCTAAGGGCTGTCACCTGAGCTGGCCACAACTAGATAAGGAGGGTGCCATTCACTGAGGAAAGAAGACAACCAGGTTGCATGGGGAAGAACATGAGTTTGGACTTGGAATTTTTGAGTCTGAGGTCCTTGTGAGTCACTCAAGATTTAAGAGTCAACTAAGAGGTGGCTTCACGCGTCTGGGACTCAGCAGAGAGGTGGGAGCTGGAGATGTAATGTGGAGATCCAGTCTGTATTGTTTTATTAGTGATACCCAAAACTGAGGATGATGTCTGAGGTGGACAGACAAGTGTGGGATGTCAGGATGGCCTCAGACTAAGCCTCTGAGGATGGCAGACACTGACTGAGGGTGAAGAAGAAGAAGGATGAATCGGTAGTGGAGAAAAGAGGAGCAAATGAGAGAAAAGGGGGTCTCTCTGGTGGTGCAAGGGGTTAAGATGCAGCACTCTGAAGCTATCCACTGCAAGGGGAAGTTGATCCCCAGCTAGGGAGCTACCCGCATGGCGCAGCAGACCTCTCCTGTTCCCCTCGCTGCTCCCCTCAGCAATGTATTTCAGTCAGCCTGCCTGTTCTGCTCCCTACTCTGTCTCTGGTGAATCCTCTCCCCCCCCACCTCTGGCCTGCACCCCAGTTCTTGTATGCATAAATAAATAAATCTTAAAGAGAGAGAGAGAGAGAGAGAGAGAGAGAGAAAACCAGGGAGGTGTGGGATTCAGCAGCCAAGGAAGAAAGTGTTTGGGGAAGAGCTGGTCAACTGTGCCTAATGCTGTTGAGAAATGGTAGCAACTCAACCAGAGTGGGGTGTGAAACCCAACAAGTTGGTCTCCTTGTGGAGGACTGAAGCCAAGGCTGAATCCAGGACCCAACCCAGTCCTCCAAGTACCCAGGCTTTCCTCTAATTCCCCCTTTACACATCTGTCTCCCCAGTAAGCTACCCCAAGGTGGACCTTGTCCACCCTGTTATCTCCACAGCCTACAAGGCCAAAAACATAGTAGGCACTTAATAAATTTTACTGTTGAATTAATGAATGGATGGTTGGATGGATGGGTGCATGGGTGGGTGATGGATGGATGTGTGGGTGAGAAGTGGATATATGGAGGATGGAATGATGGATGGATGCATGGATGGTGGATGGATGGTGGATGACGGATAGGTGGATGGTGGATGGTGGATGGATGGATGGATGGATGGATGGATGCATGGGTGGATGGATGGGTAGATGGTGCATGGTGGATGGGTGGATGGATGGATGGATGGTGGATGACGGATGGGTGGATGGTGGATGGGTGGATGATGCATGGATGGATGGATGGGTGGATGGTGCATGGTGGATGGGTGGATGGATGGACGGATGATGGATGGGTGATGGATGGGTGATGGATGGGTGGAAGGAAGGAAGAATGATGATGAACTGGATGCAAAGAACGCCCTGGCATGCGACGGAGCTAGCTACTAGCCTTCAGCTTTTTTTTCTTTTTACCGCAATGGCCCGCAGACCCGGGGAACAGAGGCTGAGCCCCCTTCCCTCCCTCCCCTGAGTGCCGGCCCCCCTTCCTCTCTCTGACGAAGAGTCTGGACCGAAGGTTCTGCTGACGTGGGAAGGGGAGGAGAGTCTGGAGGAAGGGGAGGGGAAAGCAGCGCAGAGATCGCTGAGACGAAGGAGACGCCCGCGGCTGCAGAGCTGCAGCGCGGGGCCTCTTCGGGCTCTAGTCCCGGCTGCCCGCGCGCCGCTGGGCCGGAGGACAGCGCATCCCTTCGGTGCGGGCCGGCAGGGCCCCTGCGGTCGGCAAGCTGGCTCCCCGGGTGGCCACCGGGACCCCCGAGCCCAATGGCGGGGGGAGCAGCAAAATCGACAGCTCTGTAGAGATCACCCCCAGCCCCAACGGAGTAAGTGCCCGCGCCCCGGGGACCCCGCTATCACCGTCCCTCGCGCGCCCCTGCCCGCGCCTGGCTCGGGCGCGGTGCTCGCGCGCACCCCCGGCCCCTGGCTGCCTGGCTCGGCGGGCTCCCGCCCTCGTCTCGGGCCCTGAGGTTTTCTCCGCTTCGCCCTTCTCCTGCCCCCGCCCCCCACCTCCCTCAGCAGGTCGGGACCCTCGGAGATGCGGTGCCCGCCGAGCAGCTGCAGGGTGAGCGGGAGCGCGAGCGCGCGCGGGAGGGGGAGGGCGACGCGGGCGGCGCCGGGATGGGCAGCAGCCTGTCGCTGGCCGTGCCCCCCGGCCCCCTCAGCTTTGAGGCGCTGCTCGCCCAGGTGGGGGCGCTGGGTGGTGGCCAACAGCTGCAACTCGGCCTCTGCTGCCTGCCCGTGCTCTTCGTGGCGCTGGGCATGGCCTCGGACCCCATCTTCACTCTGGCGCCCCCACTGCATTGCCACTACGGGGGCTTCCCCCCGAACGCCTCCGGCTGGGAACAGCCCCCCAACGCCAGCGGCGTCAGCGTCGCCAGCGCGGCCCTAGCAGCCAGCGCGGCCAGCCGTGTCGCCACCAGTACGGACCCGTCGTGCAGCGGCTTCGCCCCGCCGGACTTCAACCACTGCCTCAAGGACTGGGACTACAATGGCCTGCCCGTGCTCACCACCAACGCCATTGGCCAGGTGAGGCGGCCTGGTGGGCCTTGGGTCTGAGGGCAGGCAGGCAGTGACCAGCCTGGGCCTCACTGCTGCTCCATCCCTCTCCCACCGGCAGTGGGATCTGGTGTGTGACCTGGGCTGGCAGGTGATCCTGGAGCAGATCCTGTTCATCTTGGGCTTTGCCTCTGGCTACCTGTTCCTGGGCTACCCTGCGGACAGGTGAGGGCTGCTGGGGGTGGCAGGTGGGTGGAGAGGAGGGGGTGCTAGGGAGGCTAGCCCAGGAACTGGCCTTTGCAAGAGGAGGAAGACAATTCACTGGACTCTTCAGTCTTCTCTGGACTTCTGTTCAATAACATGCAGCCCCACACTTGTCCCAATTTTACTCCCCATCAAGAAATAGTCTTGCCCTGCCCCTTCTCCATAGGGAATAACTCCTTCCCCACCCCCCATCCCTGTGGCCATGGACCAGTGGCCTCTTGTTCAAAGACAATAGCTGAACAAAAACCTCTGCAGAGACTAAAAGTGCTTGCTCCCCCTCAATTGTCCCAATCTCCACAAAGCAGCTCCATCTCCCTCACCATCTTCATAGATTAATAGACTCATCCCCAACAACTAATAGCCCCACCCCAACGGACACTTGCTCCAGCTCAATGGCCTCATTCCTAAAGATCAATCTGTTAATTCCTGCACACCAAGTCCCGTTCCCACTGACCAGTACTGCAGTTCTATAAACAAATGATCCCATCTCTGTCTGCCCAGCGACCCCTCCCCCACAAGTCAGCAACCATCTCCAAAGAAAAAACCCTCATTCCCAATAGTCCCACACCTGCTAACAATGACTCTCCCCTCTTAGGTCACTAGCTCAGTCCCTATGGATCAATGATCACAAGCGCACCCCTCATAAACTAACAGTCCCATGTTCAGGGATCCTCAGTGTTCTCAGATTCTCTCAGAGCAAAAGACTCATTTCCATGAATCAGTGGCCTCATCTCAAAGATCAGCAGCCCATCTCCACCAACCAATATCTTTCTCCATAGATCAAAAGTTCCAACTCCTCTTATCTTCGACACCATCATCACTGACCATCCCCATGGGTTGATTATGAGACTCATCTCCACCGATCTACAGTTCCAGCCATGTGGAATTAATACTCAATACCCATGGATCAGAGTCAACCCACCATTTAGTAGTCCAATTCCCTAAAATCAAAACCTATCCTCACTGCCCAATAGTCACACACTCCTAGGGACAAATGAAATCAACAGCCGATCTTCATGCATCTGTGGCCTCATTCCCACAGACCAGTACCCTAGTACCTACTGATCATCTCCAAAGACCAATAATCCATTTCCTAAAATCAGTAACTT